TCAAGCTAGCAAACATCTTATTAACTAGGCGTTGATAGGTGGCCCCAGCATTCTTCAACCCGAACGGCATCATGGTGTAGCAGTAGAGCCCACGTGCCGAGTAGAAGGAGGTATGCTCCTCGTCGTCCGGATGCATGGGAATCTGATTGTAGCCGGAGTACGCGTCCATGAAGCTCATCAGCTCGTGGCCTGACGTAGCGTCGACCATGTAGTCGATGTGAGGGAGAGGATAGCTGTCTTTGGGGCACGCCTTGTTTAGGTCGGAGAAATCAATGCACAACCGCCATGCCCCGCTGCTCTTTTTCACAAGTACCGGGTTGGCCACCCAGGTCGGGTATCGGACTTCGCGTATGTACTCGTTGTCCTTGAGCTTAGTCACCTCCTCTTCCAGGGCTTGCTGCCGGTCGGGGCCGAGCTTCCTCCGCTTTTGCACGACCGGTTTGACTGTGGGGTCGACCTGCAACCGATGGCAGGCGACCTGCGGGTCGATGCCGACCATGTCCTCATGGGTCCACGCAAAGACGTCTGCGTTTTTCCGGAGAAACTCGGTCAGTTCAGCCTTCATCGGCCCCGGCAGCTTGCTCCCGATCCGGAGTTGTTTCTGGCAGGTCTCCTCATCGATGAAGATGACCTCGACTTCGTCCATTGGCTCGGCCCTCTTCGTCCCCCTTTTTTCTTCGTATTGTGTCCGAGGGTCGAGCTCGTCTTCCTCTGTGATCGGCCTTTTGCCAGCCCTTCTCCCCCTGTCCTTGTCGAGGTCGTCCTCGGCTCCGTCCTCGACGGGATCCGTCACCTCGGCGCCAGGGGCCGAGTTATCCGCTGCAGCGTTGGGCTCCGCGGCTGTCGGGTCGGCGCCCGATGGGGTCGGGGGATGCGAATCTGTCTGGTTTCCCAGCATGCGGTTGCCCCCGTCACTGTCGTGTGCCGACTCGGTATCTGCCACCCCGGCGCCTTCCTGTAGGTTCGCCATGTTTATTTCGGTGCGCGGGATGGTCAGGATGCATTCCCGCGCCTCTCTTTGGTCCCCTCGGTGGGTCCCCTCCCCATCGGGAGTTGGGAATTTGAGTGAGTAATGGAAGATGGAAACGGCGGCCTTCAGCTTGTAAGGTGTCGTCCTGCCCAGGATGGCGTTGTACTCGCTCGGGCAGTCCACGATTTTGAATGTTTCTAAGATTGTCTTCGTGGGCTGCCCTCCTTCTCCGAAAATGATCGGTAGAGTGACCTGCCCGACTGGGGCGATGGTCTGGCCATTGAAACCTTGGATTCGCTCCCGGCAGGGCTGCACCTCCTTCCTATCGATCCCCATCTTCTTGAAGGTTTCGTAGTAAAGAATGCTGGCGTAGGCCCCGGTGTCGACCATGATGCGATGGATCTTAATCGCCATGATCGGCGCCGTGATCACCAGGGCGTCGGAGTGGGGATGGTCGAACAGGAAGGCGTCTTCATCGTTGAAGGTGATGGTGTTTGGGGTCGGCTCCGGTGCCGGCCTGCTGTGGGCATGCATCACCCTTTGCCCGGCATGGTAGGCCTGTCGGGCGTAGGCCTTGGTTTGTCTCCGAGAGAGGAGGGACTCGCTCCGGCTTGTGTTGACACGCCGGGTCGGGAGGTTGGCTGGGTCGGCCCCGGTGCGGGGTGATCGGTCTCTTTTTCTGCCCCTTGAGGTGCCGGCCTCATCTTGATGGGTGGGGCAGAAGGTCATGATCTCATGAGGACCGCCCTGCTGCGGTTTCTTCCTCCGAGGATTTACATCGGCATCCTCGTCACTGTCGGGGTTTTCCTCAAAACGCCCCCCTTTCTTTCTCTTGTCTCCAGAGTGGGTGAACTTCCGGAGTTGGGGGTCATCGATCAACTTCAAAAGTGCCGAGATCAAATTCCGACACTGATCGGTATTATGCCCGTGCGCCTTGTGGTAGGTGCAGTAACGGGTCTTGTCTACTTTGTCCTTGTCGGTGAACATCGGTTTGGGGTCTGGTAATAACCCTTTGGCCTTGATTTCCTCGTAGATTGCCGCGGCACCCACCGAGAAGACGCCCTGATAGCTTTCTCTCAGCTCTTCGGCCCTCTGCCTCCGCTGAGCTCGGATCTCAGCAAAGGACTTGTTTGGCTTTCCCGATTTTTCCTCCTTTATTTTCGCCTTTGCTGGTGCCGGTGCCGGTGTGGCGTCGAAGGTCGGGATGGATGATGATTCCTCCGCCATGATGTATTCCTGGGCGCGGGTGAGGAACTCTTGGTAGGTGGTCGGCTTGTTCTGGCACAGGGACCACCTGAACAGCGTCTTCGGTCTGAGTCCGCCCTGGGCCGTGATGAGTAGGGCGTCGGGGTGGCACCGCTCCATATTTTGGACCCGGTCATTGAACCTGGCGATGTAGTCCTTCAAACTCTCATTCTCGCCCTGTATGATGTTGGAGATTGATTCCTTGGGGGCGAGATTGATCTGCGATCCAATGAAGTGGGACCGGAACGCCGACCCGAGCTGCGCCCAGGTCAAAATGGAGCGGGGGTATAGGGAATGGTACCACCTCTGCGCCTTAGGTCCCAACGTCAGGGAGAACATGCGGCAACGCAGAGCGTCGGAGGCGCCGTGCAGGTCCATCCACGAGGTGTAGAGGCCGAGGTGTGAATCGGGATCCGAGCTCCCGTCATAGAGGCCGAGCTGGGGTATTTGTATCCCCTTCGGGACAGCCTCTTGCAGGATATCGAGGGAAAGAGGCGAGGCGTTATCCGCAACCCGGGGAGTCGGTCGCGCACGGGTTTGTTGATGAGCTGGGAGTGAAAACTCACTCCCGGTGGGCTGCCGACCCTCCAACTCGGCAATTTTGCGTTTGAAGGCCGCGACTTCCTCAGTGTCGTGGCCGATGGCTTTGCCCCGCCTGATCACCTCCCGGAGGTCTTGGTTGGCGTGGCTCTTGTCACCCAGGCGCTGGTGAACAGAGCGACGAACGACCGGGAGGCTTCGCTCCGGCCGGCTCTCCCCTGTCTGTTCCGTGGGAGCCGGTCTGGTACTCCTGTCGCGGCGGTTCTGGGCCTCACGGTTCGGCGATTGGGCCGTGGTTTTGGACTTCGCCGGGTTCCTCTGTCCACCGGTCTCCTTTTCAGGAGTGTGGAGCAATGTGTTACCGGGATTCTCCGTGGGCACTACAGTGTTTGCCCCGGCGTTTTGACCGGCGAGGGCCTTGGCGAAGACCCCCTCGAGGGCTTTGAGAACGTCGGGGTGCTGCAGAGCCGCAGCGAAGGTAGGGACTGGGGGTACGGGGACGATGGGCCCCTGCTGAATGCGACGGGAGGACTCCCTGCCGTTGCGGCGGCGAGGCTGGGAGCCGGATTGCTGGGTGGAATCGTCATGTCCGGATGAAGGCATTTTGAGTGGTTTTAAAAAGCGAAAAAGTGGGGAAAAAGGTGAGCGTGGTATGGAGTTTTTACAAGATCGAAAAGTTGACACCAAATAACTTATGATGCCCTTCCTCTAACGCCAAACTGTTGACGGGCGTTTCCGGTCAACGGTTAAAAAGGTAACTAATGGAAAAGAGATGATGTAAATACAAGGAAATACGGTTTAATTGCGGTTTTATTGATAGATCGCGAGGTCGGCCTCTCGTACGAGGTCGGCACTTGCAATATCCTTACAAATTGTTACAGAGCAATTACACGGGTTTTAGAGAGAGAAAGTAGAGAGCGATAGCTTTTACAGTTGGGATTCAACAACCCAAAATAAATGAAGTGGGTTGCTATTTATAGTAGCCTTAAATGTGCCACTGTTCAGGTACTGTTCACCAATCTTGTCGTGCAGTGTTTTTTGCAGAGTAGTTCGGCGCCTCCCTGACAGAATTTAATGCGATTTGAGGTTTTCCTCATCATTGTCTGACGGGCATTTAATGCTGACAGGCTTTATGTCTTGGCTAGGGGAAGTAGGTTAACAGGCTAGGGCGTCCCATCCATCAGCCAATGATTATCCTCCAAGTGGCATTATTATAATACTATCGAGGCCGACATCTTCATTGCAGGAGCCCGTCCCGGGACTCCAAGTCGGCACCTTTTCTCTACTGGTTCTTCCGACCTTGGGGAACCTTTCTCCCAGACCGTCACCCTCCAGGTCGGCACCGGAGTTTCGTAATCACAAACGCCGGTCTGACAGACGAACTCACGGGAACGTCTGGGTCATGAAATTTTCCGGTCCAGCTCGGCACTTTATGGGTGGACCGGGTCTCCGGTTTGGCTCTCGGAATTTGTCCGGTTCGGTCTTATCGGCGAACTCGGATGTCAACACACATAATACACGACATGAACTTATTTGACATACAGTAAAAGTTTTAACTCAACTAACCTCGAGCCATTTATCCCAAACCTTTTCGCCTCCCGGTGATCATGCCGATATTTTTGTCCCATCCAAAACCGATTTCTTTCGTCAACATATTGTGGAAACGACACCAATTAGACTTCATGCGACCCTGCTTACACATTAATTAGCTCATTTCATACGGTGATTCCATGGAGCATCTTTCATTCAGCTTTTCAAAATTTCACTCCACTGACTTGTGTTGAACGTACCGCCGCTGCAGTTGCCCATCACAACTTCGTCGAACATCAGTGAAATGAAATGAGCCCAGTGATTCAAATAGCGCGCGACGAGCCGAGGCGACAAGGCTCCAATTTGTCATGGCGTGAGGCATGCGGCGAGGCGCCCGCCATATGAAAGCGAGAAGAGCCATTACAAAAAAAAATATAAATGTATGTATAGTTGTATATGAGACATTTTACCAAATTATGACACAATTATTTATGTAGATATAAATTATAATAGCTAATAAATATGCAATAAAACACCACACATTAAAATGAAAACAACAATAAATAAAGTATAAAAAACTAACAAGTAGCATCCATATCCAACATGACCAATATAAAGCAAATAAACGACAATATTCATAGTTCCAAGTTCCAACTTCCAACAAAAGCAACACCAAAAGAAACAACTAAAATTAGTTTTACTTCCACAAAAAATACTAGTCGAGGGAAAGTTCTTCGACCGCGGCGACATCATCATCCAACTTATATCCATCCACATCCTCTTCTTCCGCATCATCGTTGATAACATCATCATTCCATTCACAATCTTCATCTACAAGCCTAAATGATGAAGATGATGCGTTAGAAACCGACTTCTTTCCAGTTGATCTAGTTCTATTTCTCGGCTCCTCAACCCCGGCGGCCGTAGCAACGTTATCCCAAGTTAAATCCTCATTTTGAAACACATATTCTTCTTCTCTAGCACTCACCAACCATTCATTGCTTTCATCAATGTCTTTCAAGGCAATAGGATCAATTTTTCCCCTCAAGTACCGGCGTTGCAATGCCCTATTGTACTTGATAAACACCAAGTCATTAAGTCGATCATGATCCAATTTGTTTCTTTTCTTCGAAAGAATCTATCAACATAATAATTTCCACATTGTTATAAATTAATAATAATAAATAAATAATAACAATATAAAAAATTCGAGTGAATAAAAAACTTACGTGCTCAAAAACACTCCAATTCCTCTCACATCCGAACGAGCTACAAGTGAGGCTCAACACCTTGATAGCAAATTTTTGCAAATCGGGTGTATTGGAGCCATACGCCGCCCACCAATTTGTCGGTGTCCTTGTAGCTCTTTGCCTAACCGCCATAGGCAAACCAAAGAGACCCTCGGCATTCCGATATTTGTCCAAGTCATCACAAATTTGATCTTGTGTTGCAATACTTGGAACCAACCTTTGGATGGACTCGTACAAGCCTCTATAAATCTCCGAAGAAGCTCCACAACACTCCGGGTCTTTGTAGAAGAACTCCGGATTCAAGAAAAAACCCGCCGCATGCAAAGGTCGATGTAATTGAACATTCCACCTTCGATCAATAATATCATACACCTCTTGATACTTGCTTTGGACACCTTGAAATGCGGATGCAATGGCTTCCTTGGCCCTATCCATCGCCTCATAAATATATCCCACCGGGGGCTTTTCCTCACCATCTACAATCCGAAGCACACCAACAAGAGGAGAAGCAAATTTCAAAGCAATCGTCACATTGGTCCAAAAGGATGGCATCATCATAATCTCGGCGACCTTCTTGCCTTGTTCCTCTTTCGCCCATTTGCTTTTAGTCCAATCGTCGGACACAAACATTTTTCGCAAATTAGCCTTGTGAACAAGAAATTTTTGCAAAGTCAAAAATGCCGTTGCAAAACGGGTTTTTGCCGGCTTCACCAAATCTTTCTTTTGTGTAAAGTGCCGCATCATGTTCAACAAAGTGGGACGATTGTAGATGTAGCCGTGCACTCGGAGAGCCCTCTCATATGTCCTTTGAAGATAAGGAATTTTGAAAATATCTTCTAACATCAAGTCGAGGCAATGTGCGGCACAAGGACTCCAATACAAATGTGGATACTTCCCCTCCAAGTAATGCCCGGCCAATTTGTTTGCCGCCGCACTATCGGTTACAATTTGAACCTTTTCTTCTCCAATGGCTTCAATGTAAGTCTCCAACAAGTCTTGAATTCTCCTTGCATCCTTTGCATAGCTCGAAGCATCAACAGAGTGAAGGAACACGGTGCCACGAGGAGAGTTCACCAAAAAGTTTATCAAAGTCCGATTCCGCCGATCGGTCCACCCATCACACATCAATGTGCACCCGTATTGTGCTCTAGATAGCTCGTGCTCTTTCATCATCTTCATCACGTGCTCTTTTTCATTCTTAAGCAACGGGCCTCTTACTTGAGAGTACGTCGGCGGCGGCAACCCGAAACCATAATTTCCAACGGCCTCAATCATAGGCCCAAAAGCCGGACAATTGACCACATTAAGAGGGACCGCGGCTTCATATAGGAACCTTGCAATCTTTTCATAAGCTCTCTTCCTCAACTCTTCTCGATAGGGCGAATTTTCATCTATTCTTGGTTGCTTTCCTTTGCTCTTTCGATTTTCCACGGCAACTTCGGCATCGGGTGTAAAATAGCAATCAATAGCTCCTTTTGCTTTTGGCCTCTTGAATTGAAATTGAGTTTTCTTCATGTTGAAACCTTGAGTGGATGCGGAGGAGGATAGATTCCTTGGAGTTTGAGCCTTCATGGGAACAATTTCTTCTTCTTCGACATCATAATCATCCAAATCAACTACTTCATCAATGTCTACTACACATCTTCTATGCTCCGTTTGTTTCTTTTTCATTTCCATGTATTCTTTTACTTCTACACGAACTTCCGCCGGGCATTTTGAACATCGTAAGACATTTGGAAAGCCTCCAACCCAATGTTGTTTCATTCTTGAGACTCCACCTTTGTACGTGATCCCACAAAAATTGCAAGTAAATGCATGTATATTTGTGGGATCCCTCTTCAAATACTTCCAAGCAATGTCCTTTTTACTATTGTCCTCCATATCCATATCTACAAAAAAAAGTTAAAATTTATAAAAACATAAGTACAAGAACCAATTATTTAACATTAAAATAAATTAAAATAAAATAAAAGGTATGTTGAAATAAGCATGATTAGCTCCACTATGATCCCAATTAAAATAAGGTCAACCCCACCACATGATACCAAAATTTCAATTAAAATATGCTATAAATGATAATGCATAGGTCCCCCATGGATAAAAAAAATAAAAAATAAACATGTTACAAAACTTTAACAAAGGTCCCTACTGTTAGAATAAAATAAGCATGATAAATAGAATAAAAAATGTTAAAACCTTAAAAAAGGTTCCAGGCCCACTTTGATTCATCATAAATTAATAAAAAAATAAATTCTCATAACTTTAACAGTGGTGCTGCGGGAGACAGGGAAAAAGAAAGACCACTTTGTAAATAATTTGATGAAAGCTTTCCACAGAAGGTTCAAAGCGAGACTCGACAAGCAGCCCATTGAGAAAAAGAAAAAGAAAAAGAAAAAGGAAGCAAACAAAGAAGAAAAAGAAAAAGGAAGCAAACAAAGAACAATATTTACCTCTCGCCGTCGCCATAGCAGTCGCCGTCGCCGGTGGGCTGCTGAAAGTTGGTCGCCGTCACAGTTGGAAGAGAAGCCCCAAGGTAATTTTGTGTTTGCGTAAGTAATTGTGGTTAATTAGAGATGTTTTATCTCGTAACCCTAATTAGGAAAACACTTCTTTACCCTGACTCGCCTCAAACTTATAAGGCGTCGCCTCGCTCTATGTAGCGCTACAGTCGAGGCGACGCCTTTGCAAACCCCGCCTCGCCTCAGACCCTTGAGGCGACAAGGCCCCGCCTCGCCTCACCTCGCGCCATGGCGACGCCATGGCGGGCTATTTTAATCACTGAATGAGCCTCTGCTCAGGAGTCCATTTAGCTTCGGCCTTCTTTCTCTTTGAACTGCCAACCCCCTCCATATCCGCCATCTACATTATCCAAAACATGTACACCTTTTCGTATTGTAATGTTCGGAAACTTCATATCAAACCGACCGTTATGAAAACTGGAAAGGAGAAAATCTCTTGATCCCTTTCAGACAACATGATGAATCAAAGCCAAAACAATGCACAGAAATATGTAATTGAATTCTCAATTACCAAGCAGTTGCATATGAACGGAACAAGCAGTTCAACAAAATGCAGTTTTTTGTTCCCAATAGGCAAGAAGTTGCAATAAAAAATAAACACAAACAAGCATTTCACAAGCCGTTTTCATCACGTGACCAAAAATAAAAAATAAAATATGAGCTGATTTTTCAATAATCGAACACAGAACATAGCCAGATTCGGGGGAGCATTTTTTAACAAAAATAGCAACAACAGTATCTATACCAACTACAATAGACCATAATAAAAATACAAAATAGAAATTGTCGAAGAACCCTAATTCCCAAATGTGGGATTCCAACCGTAAGGATTTGTAAGAAATCAATTCATCAGTATATTTGGTAACAAATATGGTTATTCAGGAAAAACGACAAAATTTCAGAGCTAATTTATCGAACAAGCTCCGACAAAATTACAGCGACTCACCTGCGTTGCCGGTCGTTTTTTTCTTAGCCGACGATGTTTCTGAAGCACTCCCGGTGCTCTCGCTGTTGATGTCAATTGTCGCCGTTGCGTGGTGGCTACGAAGGTCAAGAAGTTGACAATCGGTGGTAGAGTCGGTTCTGTCGTCTGCGCTGGAAGCTTCATTTATGGTGGTGAGGGAACGTTGAAATTGGGGTACATGGGCTGAGATATTTTCAAAATGACGGGTTTGATGTGATTAATGTGAAGGTGCAAATTAGGTGTAGATCTAAAAGCTGATGGGGCCTGTCAAAAGTCAAAGGTAACCAAATAAATTGTTAAACAAACACTTACAATAGTGGTAAGTAGGGCTGCACACGAGTCGAGTCGAGTCAAAGTTTGGCTCCAGCCCATATTTTACATTGTCGAGCGGTTGAAGAGTGGTTCGAGATATATGGTAAATTACTAAACTAACCCTTCTATATATATAATTGGCAAAATTGTTTGAAAATTTTCGAACCAAACTCGAGCCGAACTCGAGCATTTTGAATTTGAGTCGAGCTCGAGCTATTATATTTTCTTATCGAGTAGAGCAATTGTATTTTCCTATCAAGTCGAGCTCGAGTTTAAAAAATCGAGCTCTAGCTCGAGCAGCTAAAAAAAATCAATCATTCTCGATAAGGCCAATGCTTGACTCGACTCGGCTCGTTTACAGCCCTAGTGGTAAGTGAATTATTTCAGTTGGGAGGATATTTTGAGTGGGTTTTTCCTAACAAACATACCCTAAACTTAAGAGAAAAATAAAAAAGACAAGCAAATAAGCAATTAAGAAAATTAAGTAGACGGGGACATCGACTTAATCTTCGATTTGATTTGACAAATTCAATAGACGAGAACATCTTATTTTTGAATTAAATGATAATTACACAAAGTCAAGCTAAATATGAAATGCAAATGCTACGCTTTCTTATTAAAACAAGCGGGACGTTACAACCAACCCTTCTTAGACGATTTCCATTTTCAAAAATTACAAAGTACAGAAGTACAAAGAGAAACTCAAAATACAAAATTTGGGTACGTCGTCCGAATCTCACTCGCTCTCCCAGGTCACGTCGGCCTCGTCGTGGCAGCTCCACTGGACTTTGACGAGTATTGCCCTCCGGTTCCTCAGCTGGTCGACCTTCCGGTCCAAGACATCTACTAGTACCTCCTCGTACGTTAGGTTTTGCCCGACGTGCAACTCGTTAAAGTTAACCACATGCTCGGGGTCATGCACGTATCTCCTCAACATCGTGACATAAAACACGTCGTGCACACCTGAAAGCTCCGGTGGCATAGCCAACAGATAGGCAAAGTTGCCGACTCGGTCTAGGATCTCAAAGGGACCAATGAAGCATGGTTGCAACTTCCCTTTCTTCCCAAAACGAAACACACCCCTCATCGGTGTGACCTTCAGGAAGACCTTGTTACCTGCCTCGAACTGCATATCGCTTCTCTGCTGATTGGCATAGGACTTTTATCGGTCCTGCGACGCCTTGATCCTCGCTCAAATCTCCTCTACTTGCTCCACTGTCTTCTTGATGGGATCGAGGATCTTCCTATCGCCGACCTCGTCTCAATACAACGGAGACCTACACTTGCGTCTGTACAGAGCCTCATATGGAGCTATCTGAATCATCGCGCCTGATAACTATGGTTATAAGCAAACTCCACAAGTGACAACAAATCCTCCCACGAGGCACCTCAATCCAAAACACACGACCCTAAAAGATCCTCGAGTGTCTTGATCGTCTTCTCAGACCGGTCATCCGTCTTAGGTTGATAAGCAGTACAAAACTTAAGCCTCGTGCCCATAGCACACTGCAAACTAGCACAAAACCTCAAAGTGAACCGTGCATCTTGATCTGATACGATTGACACGGGCACCATGAAGTCGGACTATCTCATTGATGTACAGTTAGGCGTACTGCTCCATTTTTATAGTCATTTGCACCGACAGAAATTGTGCGGACTTCGTCAAACAATCCACCATTACCCAGATGGCATTGTTCCCCTTCTTTGACTTCGGCAGGCTCACCACGAAGTCCATCGTGATATGCTCCCATTTCCACTCGGGGATATCGAGTGGATGAAGCAACCCCGACGGCCTCTGGTGCTCGGACTTCACCTGTTGGCACACCAGGCAGCGGTCCACGAACTTAGCTACATCTCTCTTCAAGCCTCTCTATCAGAAAGACCTCTTAAGGTCTTGGTACATCTTCGTACTCCCAGGGTAGGCAGAGTATGGTGCGCCGTGTGCCTTCTCCAATATCTCCTTCCGCAGCTCTAGCACCATTGGAACACATAGTCTTTGCTCAAAGACTAATGACCCATCGGATGCCTCTGCGAATCCTCCTATCTTGCCAGCTCAAGACAACTCTCTCATACGGTACATAAAATGATCATTCGACTGCTCGGCCACGATCCCTCTCGCAGAGTCAGTCCTACAACCAATGATGCTAGAATACCACTGGCTCAGGAAGATGGCTCCACTACCTCGATCTCCAACCGAGCAAACTCTCAAACTAGCTCTTCATGCTGGGTAATCATACAAGCTAGCTCGCTCGACCCTTCCGACTCAGCGCGTCGGTCACCACGTTAGTTTTCCCAATATGGTAGCTAATCGTGCAGTCATAGTCCTTAACGAGCTCTAGCCATCTTCTCTGCCTCATATTCAACTCCTTTTGGGTGAACAAGTACCTCAGGCTCTTATGGTCCGTAAAGATCTCGCATTTTCCTTCATAGAGGTAGCGCCTCCAAATATACAACGCGTTGACCATAGTAGCTAAATCCAGGTCATGCGTCGAGTAATTCATCTTGTGCTGCTTCAGCTGCCTCCACACATAAGTTACGACCTTCCTCTGCTGCATTGGTACACATCCCAAACCTTGCTTTTAAGCATCACTATATATCGTGAACTCTAAAGCAGGATTGGGAATAGTCAACACCGGTGCGGTAGTCAGCCTCGTCTTCAGCTCGTGGAAACTGGCTTCGCACAGTGGACTCCAGGCAAACTTCACCTCTTTCCTCGTCAACTGAGTCAGTGGTTGGGCTCTCTTCGAGAAGCCCTCAATGAATCTCCGATAATAACCGGCTAGGCCCAAAAAAACGCGGATCTCACTCGCATTCCTTGGGACTTACCAGTTACTCACCGTCTGTATCTTACTTGGATCAACCTCTATCTCTTTAGAGGTGACAATGTGACCGAGAAAGGCAACTCGGTCCAACCAGAATTCGCACTTCGAGAATTTAGCGTAGAGCTTCTCTCGTCGAAGTGTCTCCAACACGATCCTCTAATGCTCCTGGTGTTGGTCGGCGTCTCGAGAATAGACCAAGATGTCATCGATGAAGACAATGACGAACTGGCCAAGAACGGATGGAACACTATGTTAATTAGGTCCATGAATACGGTCGGGGCATTGCTCAATCCGAACGGCATCACCACAAACTCGTAGTAATCATATCGGGTTCGGAACATCGTCATAGACACATCGAACTCCTTGATCTTCAGCTGGTGGTAACCAGATCTCAGATCGATCTTCGAGAACACACTAGTTCCCTTCAGCTGATCGAACAGATCCTCAATTCTTAGCAGCGAGTATTTGTTCTTCACCGTCATTCTATTGAGCTCACGGTAATCGTTGCACATCATCATTGAACCATCATTATTCTTCACTAAAAGGACCGATGCTCCCCACGGTGAAACACTCGGTCGGATAAAACTGAAGATCATCAACTCTTAGATTTGTGTCTTGAGCTCTTGTAGCTCCTACAGATCCTTCGCTGCAATTCGGTATGGCGCCTTAGACACTGGTCTTGCTCCCGATACCAAGTTGATAGAGAACTCGACTTGTCTGTCTGGTGGCCCTCCTAAAAGCTCCTCCGAAAAAACCTCTAAGTACTCATGAACAATCGGCAAGTCCTCTGGAGATGGTTTCTTCATCTCACTCCCGCCAGTGTTCACCAAAAACCCTTGGTTACCCTTTTTTATTTTCAGGCTCTTCATAGCCCTCAACAGTTTTTGTGAACTGCAGAATCTCCATGCAGTAAGCCTGGCAACAGCTAGTGTCGGGGTCCTCTGTAACTATCTCTCCCTCTACAGGAACCCCCAAAATGGCCTAAATATCGTGCAACATGATACTCATTTCACCAAACAACATGTGAAACGAGTCAGTATCAGGCTGTTAGCGCTCAACAAATGCAAAAATAAGTGGACTATCCACATGCGTATGCATGGAGTCCACCAGATGTGACAGCCCAGTCCGACCTATCAGATCGCGTGCAGCGGGAGGCATAACACGGAGTTAGATCCATAACTTATCGTGCGCTCCCTGTCTATTCTGGCATTTCAGTATGCCTCTAAACTCTCAAGTCCACCTACGAGAGGCTACGTGCCCTAGAAAACTAGGGTTAACACTCTCATCAGGGGTGCCACCGGGTAATTGTCCTGAAACAATCGAGGCTTCCACAAGTACACTCCTAGATCATTTTCTAGTACCTGACATTAGAATAAAACATATATATATATATATATATATATGACATATTGTGACTAACTGTATCAGTAAGATGTTATTGTTAAATAAAAATATTTAATGGTAAACAACAATAAGTACGTAAATTATTTACCTGTGAATCTAGTGCTCGCAAAACGGCCCCCAACACGTGGAGGAGCAGGTCGTGCAGGAGCTTATCATGGGGGAGGAATGTTCTGGTAATCTCTAGACTTAAAGTCCTTAGATCCTTTGAGAATTACAACTCGAAATGAGACTCATAATAATCATCCCGCTGTTCGAAGCGGGATTGTCGAACGATTTGTACCGGAGTGAGGTGTCTCGAACCGCCAGCCTAGAAATCCCCAAACTGCTGCTCGTGCAAAGACTGGTCACGCCGACCAATCTGTCCCTGATGAATCTGACGCTGCATCTCAGCCTCGTCGCCCGACGAGCGGAAGCATCCACATACCGACTCCTAGTGTGTCAGGGTCCATAATAAAAAAACTCGACATCCTCTGTATCAGTGGTCAATCGTGCAGGTCTACCACTAGTGTAACTCAATAATTTAAACTAATAATTAGTGAACAACCTTTTTAAATTCATATATTTTATTAATTATTATAAAATAATTACAATTAACTAGTTATTACTAGTATTTACGCAAACAAATCATAATTACTATTATTAATTATTATTATTTGCTAAAATACATTACTAAATATTACACGCAGTTATTTTTCTAAAAAGTATTAAAAAATCAATATAATAATTATTCATAACCACATAATTAATATAATTACACTTTTTGATTATATAATTATACAAACTAGTTAATAATAAAATTATAAATTTTTTGAACTTATATTAGAATACCAATTATAATTTTTAAAACAAACAATTACTCAACAAACCATTTTATTACATATATTACAACAAGTCGTTTCCTAAAAGGCTTAATGGTGGGAAAATACACGACCTTTACGTGTTTGGCCATTTAATCACCACCTTTAGACCTTGGCAAATAAATACATGACCTTTACATTCTTGGCAACCCGATACATGGTTTTAACTGCCGTTAACGGAAATCCTACGTGGCTTTTGACACACCAAACGAACATCCGAGTCAGCGCCCAGGTGGAAAATCGTGCACATGTGGCAGAATGACCTTTACATTCTTGGCAACCCGATACATGGTTTTAACTGCCTTTAACGGAAATCCTACGTGGCTTTTGACACACCAAACGAACATCCGAGTCAGCGCCCAGGTGGAAAATCGTGAACATGTGGCAGAATTGCAAAAATAATGCAAGAAGTGGATTTGAACCTTGTACCTCTAGTGTATAAGATGTGCTTATGAGCTACTTGATCCAACCCAACTTATGTTAAGTATTGGACTACATTTATATATATACCAACATCATTTTATCTATATTATATAAAATTTATACAACTTTTAAATATAGTACTTATAAATAATTTATTTACTAAATATATACAAATTTATTTGTTAAATATTATATATTATAATAAATAAATAATATATTAAATAAATGAAATTTTATTAAATAAATAAATATTATTTTAAATATGAAATATTATTAAATAAATAAATTATATTTTTACTTATTTAGTTTTAGTTCGTAATTTAATATGTTAAATAAAGTAAATAGTATATATTAAATAAATTAAATATTATTGAATAAATAATATATTAAATAAATTAAATTTTATGAAATAAATAAATACTATATTAAATAAAATATATTAAATAAAATAAATATTATTTTATTTTAAAAAATAAAATAATGAATAATATTTTTAATTTAGTTTTTTATCGTAATTTAATATAATAAATAACATAAACATTATATATTATATTAAATAAATAATATATCAAAAAAATTATATTTTATTATATTTATAAATATTATTAAATAAATAAATTATATTTAGTTCGTAATTTAATATATTAAATAAAGTAATATTATATTAAATAAACAATATATTAAATAAATTAATTTTTATTAAATAAATAAATAAAATATTAAATATCATATATTATATTAAATAAATAATCTATCAAATTAATTAAATTTTATGAAATAAATATATTAAATTTTATTTTATTTAACATATTAAATTATGAACTAAAACAAAATAAATAAAAAATATTATATGTTATTTAGTTTTTAATTATATATTTTATTTAATTTTAATTTATTGTATTATTTATTTATTTACTATATTTAGTATTTATTTTATTATTTATTATTTTTATAAATAAATAATATTGTATTATTTAATATCTTTATTTATATAATATATATTTAATATATTTATTCATTTAGTAAATAATTATTTAATATATAAAAATAATTAAATTTAAATCAAGTGAATTAATATAAGAATAACATTAATGATAATAAATGTTTTATTAAACAAGAATGTAATATTATTTATTTATTTACTTTACTTATTTTTATTTCAGAATTAGTATATATTTAATAAATAAATTATTTAGAAGTACTATAATTATAAGTTGTATAAATTTTATATAATATAGATAAAATGATGTTAGTATATATACAAATGAAGTCCAATACTTAACATAAGTTGGGTTGGATCAAGTGGCTCATAAGCACATCTTATACACTAGAGGTACAAGGTTCAAATCCCCTTCTTGCATTATTTTTGCAATTCTGCCACATGTGCACGAATTTGCCACCTGGGCGCTGACTCGGATGCCCGTTTGGTGTGTCAAAAGCCACGTAGGATTTTCGTTAACAGCAGATAACGACATTTAAAACCATGTATCGGGTTGTCAAGAATGTAAAGCTCATGTTTTAAAACCATGTATCGGGTTGCCAAGAATGTAAAGCTCATGTGGGCGCTGACTCGGATGCCCGTTTGGTGTGTCAAAAGCCACGTAGGATTTTCGTTAACAGCAGATAACGACATTTAAAACCATGTATCGGGTTGCCAAGAATGTAAAGCTCATGTTTTAAAACCATGTATCGGGTTGCCAAGAATGTAAAGCTCATGTATTTATTTGCCAAGGTCTAAAGGTGGTGATTAAATGGCCAAACACGTAAAGGTCGTGTATTTTCCCGCCATTAAGCCTTCCTAAAAATACTAAAGTTAGATGCATTATCTTATTAATAATTAGTATTATTAAAAAGTATTATTAACATAATTTTAATGTAGTTACAGTTAACTATTATAGATAATATATTATTTATAAGGGGTTTAATGCACCAAACCCCCCTGTATTATACGAAATCTGCGCGTTTCCCCCCTGTATTTTAAAAATTGCATCAGACCCCCTTCTATTAAGGTTTTATATGCACGAAATACTCAAAATTTAGACGGTTTAGGGTGTTTCGCGCATGTAAAACCTTAATAGAAGGGGGACTGACGCAATTTTTAAAATACAGGGGGAAAACGCGCAGATTTCGTAAAATACAAGGGGGTACTGTATATTTTACCCTATTTATAAGTAACATATTATTAATAACTACTAAATCAAAATTTATCTAAATGAGCCTAAATTAAAAGATTAATTCAATTATACTTTTAAATATCTAAACATATTTAAATAATTTCAATTATAATTTTTTTAAAAAAAATCTAAAAAAAAAAATCAAAATCATCGGCGGTCGGCTGACCGACGATGCTGTCCGTCAAGGGTGTGGACGGACTTGAAAACTAGCTGCGCCAGTGATCGACTGCACCCTCAAATGTCGACCGGCCAGCCGACTTAATTCTTTGAAATTTATTTACTAATCAAAAACAAAAAACATATCGGAGAATCGTGAGACCTTTTTCTCGGCCGTGATGATGATTTGCCATTTTTTCAAAAAATTTTTGGCGAGAATCTAGCCGGAGAAGGTTGGGCGAGAGTTCGAATTTTTTGAAAGAAATGAAATTGTGAAAAGTACGGTAAAAAAGGGCGATTGAAAGAAATGATTCTTGTTTCATTAATTGGATTATGACTTGCTTAACCTCCACATGCTTCTCCTTTAATGTTAATGGGGCTCTGAAAGGTTTTGTCCAAGCTAGTAGAGGAATCAGACAGGGAGAGCCACTGTCTCCCTATATATTCATTTTAATCTCATAAATTTTATCTAGTTTGATCAATGCTGAAGTTTCTAATGGGAACTGGAAAGGGCTCAAAATCAGTAAAAATGGATCCAACCTCACCCATATTCTTTTTGCATATGACACATTGCTTTTTCCTCAAGCCTCTAATGATCAAGCCCTCCTTTTGTTAGATATCCTCAAGAAATACCAGCTCTTCACTGGGCAATTAGTCAACATCACCAAATCCTCTATATTCTTCAGCAAGAATACCCCTCCTCATATCCAATCCCAAATTTGCAACACTCTCCTTGGTATCTCAGTGCACTCCTCTTCTAAATACATGGGCCTGGCTTTGGGATTGGGGAAATCTAAGATTGACACCTTTACCTATGTTGAAAAATCTGTTAAAAGTAGAATCTTGAACTGGAAAACCAAGCTTTTGTCTGCTGCAGGTAAAGAGGTGCTGATCAACTCAGTTTTGAATGCACTGCCCATTTATACAATGTCCTGTTTCCTCATTCCAAAAGCCACCAAAGCAAGTATAAATATATTTGTTGCTGAATTCTAGTGGAATAATGGAGAGCAAAACAAAAGGAATATCAACTGGAAATCCTGGAGTTCAATCACCATTCCAAAGGACAAAGGTGGATTGAGTTTTAAGGATATCAACCTCATGAACAAGGCCCTTATCATTAAGCAAATCTGGAGGATCCTCTCTAAACCCAATCTACTTGTCAGCAAAGTCTTGAAGGCCAAATACTTCCATGAAGACAGTTTCTTCAATATCCCCAAGAAGCAAAATAACTCATGGCTCTGGAACAGTTGGTTAGAGGTGAGAGACTCTCTGGTGAAGAACTCTCAGCATGGTGGACTGAGATATGAAGTCAGAATCTAGCTTGGGTTTGTGATCTTATGGATGAGACTGGAAGGCACTGGAATTTAGACACTCTCCACTCATTGTTCTCTCCCTTATAAATTGATGTTATTTTTAAAATTAAGGGATTTGATCCTACAAGAGCGGACAAGTTTGTTTGAGATAGTGCTACTTCTAGTTATCCCATTTCTGTCTCTTCTATTTACTCCAGCTTGATGGAGGGTAAATGGACAATTCTGGACATTGCTGAAAGTAGTAAGGGTAAAAAAAATACAACAGGAATGATGAGAAGAAGCTGGTATCTTAATGTTTAAGGAAAAATTAAACATTTCTTCGTGAAATGTGTCATCAACACACTTCTTGTTGCTAATAATCTCTGGAAAAAGAAAGTTGTTCTGGACCAAACTTGCAAAGGATGTGGAAACTGTTGAGCACCTTCTACTCAATTGCCCATTGGCCAAAACAATCTGGAAGCTGTCACCTTTGAGCTGGGATTACCAATCACTTGACATCTCATCCTTTAAAGCCTGGTGGACACAAATCTATACTCTTGGTAACTCTTCTATTTCCAATGCCAGGCTGCAGCTCACTGCGTATCTCCTATGGGAAATCTGGAAAGCCAGAAACCTCTGGTCTTTCTAGAAAATCAGAAAACCTGAGCCATTCATAGTCCAATATGCTCTCAACAACTGGACTGAATTTTCTGACTCTCAACCTCATTGACATGTAATTGAACTGTTGATGAGTCCACCTACTCTCTCTGTTTATAGGTACTGAGTTTTGATGGTGATGTTTTGCTTTCTCTTATTTCTGTTTGAGGTGTTCTTATCTGAAATCTGGTTATGCTGGTTTGGGGTTGCAATTTTTGTCTGGAGTTGCTCATCTGGCGATGCTGGTTTGCATTGTGTGACTATAATCTGTTGTGTGGTTGGAATCTGTTATGCTGTGGCTGTTTCAAAGTCTATGAAATGCTGTGTTGTTGCTGTTGGAAGTGTTAAGAAGATTGATGATGAAGATAGGTTGCTCCACTGCTGTGATATGAGGCAAGGGATGAAGTTTGTGGGAACTGCTGATTTAAGCTTGGTTCATAGAGATATGGTGTTTGGGTTTTGATGTATTGTGTACTGTTTGAACTTCTCATTTTGCACTTGTCTCTTTGATGCTTGGGTTAGTTAGTTTGTCTATTTGATGGTTGGGTTAGTTAGTTTTTTTCTAGTTTCAGTCTTCTTTGTACAACCGCTTCTCTAGTTTCAGTCTTCTTTGTACAACCGCTTCAACTAGGCCATGTAGGGCAGTGGTTGTCGCTTTTCTTCAAGTCTGTCACTTTGGCAGCAAAGTATAAAGAACCAACTCAACGGTCCCTTTGCCTTGTCAATGTTGGGAGTTGTTCTTTATACTTTCTTTTTTAGTAGTGTTCTAGTGCACTTCGGGTGCTACTCTTTTGTCCTTCCGAACCTTGTATTGGTTTTTTTTAACTGGGTTTGTAAATTTCTTTTTCGATTTATAAAATCTATCGTTTTAGAAAAAAAAAAAAATAATAACAATTCACTGTATAAATAATGATTTTGCAAATTTCACTCTACCTCTCGCCCCCTCTTGATTCTAGCGCCAGCTTCAATCCATTTTTCAAATTCGGAACATCTCGACTCCTCTTTCACTCACAATTTAACATCGACTAGGTTAGTTTTCTAATACCTACGCAAAATCTGGGGTGTATATTTTTTGGCCTTCATCGTTTGTTGATCCTTTGAATCCCAAAACCCGACGGCGATCAATCGGAGAAAATTGTGAAACGGCTCTGTTTGGGGAAGAAAAACTCGTTCGAGATCAATATAAACTCGTTCGAGATCAATATAAACTCGTTCGAGATCAATGGGGCACAGTTCAAAGAAGAAGAAGAAGCGGGGAGGTGGAGGGCGAAGGGCCCAATCTAAGGACCATTCATTTGCCGCCGATAATTCTGAGATTATAGCAGAGGAAGTCACTGCCTTGTAAGTGTCTTCACATATATTTCCCATTTTCACGTCGTTCTTTGTATATCACTGCTGTATGTTGTCATATTATTATGTATGTGGCATCAGTTTAGTTTGTACTTAACATCTAATCAGTTCCCGGCAAAACTTTATACCTTTGTCTTGGCCGCTATGGTATCCTGATGAATGAGGGATGACATCATGCTATTTGTCTGATAAAGCTAGCATTCCTATGTTATGAAGGTCCAACCACACACTCGAAAGTCAGTCAATTTACATCTGTAACTGCAAAGTTGGGTCTTAAAGTGGAACTCAAATTCCTTCTACTGGGTTATGTATTATTTGGATCCAGTCTCACATAAAATTAGACATAAGTTCATTTAACCCTATGATATGAGAGAGAATTATTGTGAAGCGTTGAGGTGTTAAAGTGGCAGAGCTCAAGCTATACACAGGTCATACTAGTACCATCCAAATTCTTTAGGAGCTTGAGAGGTCCAATCTTGTGAACCTGGATGTTGAAGTCGGTGAAGGCCATTCTAAATCCTCCATCACTATCATTGTTGGCATACAAACGTAGCTCTGTTTTTTGATGCATATTATTTTACTGGGCTCGATGTTCAAGTTTATGTTTATTGTGCGTTTAGAAAGTTGTCACCCATTTACTTTTGCAAAGAGCTGATTTGTACAAAAGTTCTTCAATGAGAAGATGTTCATAGCAACATCTTTGCCAATGAATTGTTTATTGTTAGGGATTGAGGTTTCATCTCATTTTGTGCGCATTGAAAATTAACTCCAACTACTGTATGCCCCGGCAAGTTAATGATTGTCCTAGATCCTATTTCAATCACGTGCAATGTTAGCTGTGGACATGTATCTTTGGATAAATATTTGTGGTTTTAACATGTATGATTTACATAAATTTTTAGAAATTTTTGTGATGATCATCAAACTTCTAAGTGTTTCCGTAGAATTCTGACGATGCCAAATCTTTAGTCATACTTCGAAGTTTTCTACTAATATAATGGGTTCCCCGTATTATAGGTGTGCCATATTTCAGGAGGATTGTACCGTGGTTTCTGAAGCACCCCCTCAAGTCAACATCAAACTTAGGTTCTGGCTTCACAAATTGAGTTTTCATCTGCAAATTTTCTTATTTGTTTGCTGAATGTTTTTATGAATGAAACGACAGGCCTTACTCAAAGGATACAGGATATGATGATTCTGATGTTTCTGCCGTGCTATCAGTGAGGTTTGTTGACACATACCCTGTAAATGGTGTTATATCAAAGTGTTTGCTAAGTGTATTATACTATTATGCAGATGTGTGCATGGTTATCCATTCAAATGCCCAACGCTGCATATAATACCAGAGAAAGGGCTATTGAAAACTGATGCCGATAACCTTTTATCTTTGCTTTACGATCAGGTACTAGTGATCCAGTGCTCAACTTGTGACAGGTCTATGTGTTTACTCTGGTAATGTGGCAGGTGACACTATTAGTGTTCGGCACTTACAATTTGGTATTGCTATTGCGAAAAATGTAGTAATTTGCATGGATGGCAAAAGCATGTAAAATCCACCTAGACTGAAAAACTTTGGCTTAGAGTTTTCCTTTCTATTTAGACGTGTACGTGCTGTAGGATGTACTCCTACTACGAAGGTATATTTGTGATTCAGATCACCGCAATACATTTGCACAAACTATGCTCAATTCATATTTCATTCTCTTATGTGCATGTCTCCTTGTTTCTTCTGCGATACAGTGTCCCCAATATTGTCTTAATCAGGCCTATTTTCATGTTTTTCTGCTTTGTAATTTTGGGTAACAATCTTCTTCTGTTTTGCAGGCAAATTCTAATGCTAGAGAAGGGCGTGTAATGATTTACAATTTAGTGGAGGCTGCCCAAGAGTTCTTATCTGAAATTACTTCACAGGTCAGTCATCTGTATCTGTTAGCACTTAGAACTGTCGTTTTTGGTTTCAGTTGCAGGTTTTATTTCCTTTTTAAGTTGGTTGCTTAAAAATTTTGCTCCTATCTTTTGTCATGATAAATTTTGACTAATGTTCAGAAGACGAGAAGAAAATTCATTCATTTCAACGGTGTTGGGTATTGGTATGTTTTGTGAATATCTGAATTGTAAACTTAGAATGATTTCTTTTTGGTTGTGTGATCTTCAATTTTTTGTTTCATGGTCTGTGGTATACTTTCTCAAAGTATTTGAGTTTCAAACTTTATTTAGTTGTTTTGGTATATGACATGAAGCTACGTTTTGAGTTTGTCCATACTATCAGGTTAATATTGGTAATATTTGTATGTTAATTGCTTGAGTATTGTATTTCTTTTTTTCCTCTTTTTTATGCTTTGGGTGGGGGGAGGGTTGCGGTTGTGCAAAAAGAGTTGAATAAGAATAAATGTTGGAATTGTAGTTTGCTATAAGAATATGAAGAACTCAAGATTTGTGATACTTAATTTTGAGAAATGATAGTAGTGGTAGTTCGGTAGTTCTATATGACTACTGAACAAGCTCAGATAAATGAGTTTTTGATAATTGCGCAAAATTTGCCCCTTTTTCTTTTGTTCATTTTCATATCTTATTTTCATTTTCTTATTTTTAGTCTGAGTGGGCTGTTTATTTCATTCATCAGCGAGATACACTATGGCATATTACAGACTGTTTTCTCTTGTTTATGATAGTTAGGGGTTATGGAAGACTAACTTCCAGCAACTTCACTTTCACTAGTTCTCTTTGCGAGCTGATTACGATTCACATCTATTAAGACTGTTTTAATGATGATACTTTCCTGATTATCAACATGAAGGATATCCTTCTAACGTTTTGTATTTTTCCTACTTCAAAGTATCGTTGTTCATAATTTAAACTTATAAGAGCAAAATCCAAATTGGCATTACTGGTTAATGATTGATGAGGTTTGGTGGACTCCACCTATGAAATTGATATAAGAAATTCTAGACTTTTAAATTCACTTATTCGATTTTGGATGAGAAATTATCCCTAAATGCAACTAAGGATCATTTTGAATGAGTAAACGTGGACTTCTTCTTTTGATATTCTGTGGAGAAGTCTTAAAAATTATGCCAGTTATACAACAAGACATCTAAACTAATTTGGGTTTTTCTTTTATTTTCTTGTTTAATTTTATTATTCTCCTACATAATGACCCAGTGGGTGTTCAAAGAAAATGTCAGATAGTATACAATCAAATTCAGAACAGGTTCATAAAAGGACCATGCATGCGGCATCACTCTCTCTCTTTAACGTTACAATGATTGATGGACATGTTGTACATTTTATCATCCTTGAACTAATATAACATGTAGTAGGCACTAGGAAATTTAATATAGCATGGACATTGGTATATAACTTTTGATTGAGTTATTTCAAAAGTTTAATTATTGAATACCTCAGAGGTATAAAAGTAATTGCTCATCTAATATTGTAAATAGAGAGGTCATCTATCAAACTAGAACTTTGAAATTATAAATTATTTTATACTGATCTTTTCCCCCCTCAGGTTGTGCTCCATGATGCTGATAAGAATTACCAGCTATCAGAGCAGGAGGCTACTATTCCAAGTGGCAGATTACGTTTTTCTGTCGGACCTTTTGTCTTTAGTCATATAGATCTTTTCAGTGGTTCTGGGGAGTTGTGGCAGTGGAATCTGGAAGGGGAAGAGAGCAACAAGGCATCTTCACAAACAATTGATGATTTGAATCCGGGAAAGTTTAATTTGGCCAAGCAACCCGAGAAGAATATGAAGCCGTCAGTAGTAGAAAATGTTAAGGCGGAGTCCAAACTTAACCTTTCTTCAAGATTAGGTACCCTTGAGGAAGAGAGTGAAGACGAGACCAAAAACAGTTACTCAAGTGCTGGATCGGATGGAAATGGTTCCACTAGCAGCATAAAGGTTATTCTGTTTCTTTTCTATTATTTAATTTTTTCTTGTTAAATCCTGCATCTCAATAAAAAAAAAGAATAAAAAATATCCTGCTTCTGGATGATTATGAATGATTAATGTTCACATTTATCAAGGGTTGTTTTATCGTTTTCTTGCACACGTGTTCTATTTTGATGGTAAGTGCCTGATTGTGCATTTCTTTCTTTTTTCTCTCAACTCTTTTTTCAGCTTGATTGAAGTGGGGGTTACATTTTGTTGTCCATAGTATAGATGCCACTTTGAATGGTTTTCTGTATTATCGTTGAATAGTGGCTTAAGGGTGTTCACAACTATGTATAAATCATGCTCCAACAAGTATAGTATGGTAATGGTTTACTACTATATTAGATTTATCAAGTTCCTTGTGGTACGTTGAGCCAATCATTTCTTGATAATGTAGTGAAAGGGATAGCAAATAAGTTTTGCTTATTCCATATTGGTATTAGTAGCTTTATACAGACAATCGAATAGCACGAGTAACAGAGTTATTAGCAGATTATATCATTTGAGTTAATATGCGCTTTAGTGACATTGAATTTGGGAAAAAAATTTATATTATCCATGTTTCGCACAAAACGGACAGGTTGTATAGAAGTGTTGAGTGAATCCTTAAAGGTTTAAAGCTATTTGATGTTTTTTTTAATGACATAGATTTAGATGTTGACTTTTGTTAGAAGTTATGTTGGTCCCACATTGATAAGTTACTGTGTATAAATGTGTGTTAGGCATCCTCTCGCTTTGAGCGAGCTTTTGGGGATGAGTTCTACCCAGACCCATTTATCTTGGTACCAAAGCACCCTGGCTTGTTTGTTTGTAGGCGATGTTGGGTTTTGACTCGACCCATTTTGGTTTGGTAAGCTTTGGCGTGAGAGCAGATGATAGAAGTTCGGCGTGTTAGAAGTTATTGTCCCACATAAATTAGTTACTGGGCTGTTATTAGCGTTTAAGTGTGGATTAGGCACCCTTTTGAGGTGAGTTCTACCTAGGCCCATTTATCAACTTTCTTGAAATTTTAAAAGCAATATTACATTTCTAAAATGTTGCTGATTGTTTCAAGGTTATTATTCCTACGAAACGATAGATATAATATAAATCAACTCAAAAATTACAAACTAGAAAACAACTATAATAGCTGAATGAAACAACTAAAGAAGCTGAATCTAGGACCTAGAACTGCTTAAATCCGAAAAACAACACAAACAAAAAAGACTAACACAAAACCTAATCAAGCTCCCACGCGGGAGAATCAAAATCAAATGATGGAGAATAGCCTAACAAAATAAAAACACACACACGTACACAATCTAAATAGAGAAAAGAAAAATACTACACAAAAATATCAGAATAAAGCCTCTCCTCTTCAAACGATGTCTTCGCTACCACTTCAGCCACATGCTCTAAGCCACCGACGGCCTTCAACGAAGGTGAAACACCACCAAAGCTTACAAGCACAATCCAGCACACTTTGAAGCCACTCATCCTAAAAATGATACGAGTACTGCAGATCCACAGCTCTCAACCCAATAACTTCCGATCGATAGAATGACTAGTCAAATCTAATGAAGAGTCATAACTGAAGCCCAGATTTGAACCGTAAAACAAAGTCAAAAGGAAGAAGAACAACATTTCAAAGAAAGATTGATGTGGACCAGCCTCTAGGGAAGGCCACTGGGGGTAGCTGCGCAGAATGCTAGAGATAAAGAAAA